CCGGTTGGAATTTCGACAAGGTTGCAAAACTCGGCCGCCTAGCCGCCCGCCTAGGCGCTAGGCGGCCCCGAGCCTTGGAGTTTTGGCCAAAACTCGGCCGGCCGCCTAGGCGGCCTGGGCGGCCAAACTCGGCCAACTCGGCCGAGTCGGTCAACTCGGCCGAGTCGACCGATTTTGTCCGATTTTGACTGATTTTGTTCGATTTTGACCGATGTCGTCTTTCATTAATTATTGATTTTAATATTATTATGACATTATGACTTATAAATTATCATTATTTCATTTATTTAGATGTGTTATTTGAGTGAACGTTGAAAACAACCTCATTAAAATTGTCGAACTACAAGTCTGTTACTATTTTTTTTATTTTTTTTGGTGCCCGCCTAGCGCCGCCTAGAATCCGCCTAGGCGCCGCCTAGACCGCTTAGGCGCTAGGCGCTGCCCGGCTGCCCGACTAGCGCCTAGCGCCTACTGCAACCATGAATTTCGATAATGTGGCCTTGGGTTTAATGATGGTTATGTCCTTGAGTTTATGTCCTTGTTTTTATTGCTGTGTTGATTGTACATTATGTTATGAATATTGTACATTATTTGTTTTATGACAGAATTTCCTAAACATATTCTGTTACTGTCAAATGCTACTGCATATTCTGTTAAATATTATTAATTATTTATTATTAAGGTTGGCAATTGCATAAATGAGTAAGACCTAAGTCCGCGTTTCTTAAACTTCTATTTTCATCTACCTTATCGCGAACTAAGACTCAGACAGTCAGATATACGTTTCTTCTTCATCTTCCTTCATTGCTGAGAATCAGGTATTGTACGTTTTCGCTTTCACGGAATGGATAGAAATCTCAGTAGTTTCAAATTATTCAGGTTTCATCTTCCTTATCGTACAATAACAATACGTTTCCGCTTTCTCCGTCTCAATTTGATATCGCAGAGATTGGGATGTGATGGAATAATTACGGAGCGAAGCAATATAGAGCGGATCACACCCGGCACCGAGTGGACTACACACGCGGCCGGACAGACCATGGAGAGGTCTACCTATCACGGGGTCCCCGGTTACTATGCACACGAAGTGACGAACCACCCCGGGGTCGGCCAACATGGGCTCAGCACCCCGGGGTCGGCCAACATGGGCTCGGCATCTCGGGGTCGGCCAACATGGGCTCGGCACCCCGGGGTCGGCCTACGTAGGCCGACCACCACGGGGTCAGCCGGCACACCCGAGGTCGGCCTACGCAGGGTCAACCAACCCCGGGGTCGGCCTGGCGTGAGGTCGGCTCGCCGTCGAGCCGACCTCCACGGGCTCGGCCTAGCCCATGGCCGGCACCTTGGTCGAGCTCCGCGCTCGGCCAAGGACCAGGTCCTCGCGTGGAGCGAGTCCCGCGGCTCCTCCCGCGTGACACGGGCCCGGTCCGGCGGGGGGTATAAAAACACTCCCCCCCTGGTGTCCTATTCAAGTATCTCCTACCTTCAGACAATACTTGTAACGTTATCACACGTCCCCAACCTCTGTAATAGTACCATACGCTCAAATAATACAATATTTATCATTTTATTATTCGTTCGTCATATTCAATCTTATATACGGGTTGTATAATCCGGACCCCCGGGTTCATATAATCCATCATTGGTGCCCTTGTTGAGAGCGGTTTGATAAACATTATTTTTTTTTGTTATTTTTAATAATCTTTTTATAGTTAATTTGTAATATTAATTAATTTTATATTTATTTTTATTTATTATTGTTATTATTAGTAGCTTTGATAGTTATTCAATTTTAGGTTGTTTTAATTATTAAATTTGTCTATTATTTGAATTCTGTCAGTTTAATAATTCATTGATTCTAATTTAATTATAATATTATTAATTTTAGTAGTACATGTTCAGTAGGAGTTTAATAAAGGTAGATTAGTTATATATGATATCTAATAAGATTATTATTATTATTATTATTATTATTATTATTATTATTATTATTATTATTATTATTATTATTATTATTATTTAGGAACAAAGGACTCGCAGACTTTTTCTCTATCAAAGCTACGATCCTATTGAATAGCTGAAGTTTCGGACTAGACCGCATCGGAAGACGCAGCAACGTTCGGTACAGCTCCGATTGGACTGAGGATTATAAATAGAGGGTAGAAGGCATAAAGTCCATGATAATCAATCGTCCCGGACCAATTCCGGTGGAGGTGAACAAAGACTCTTCGATTGGCGGTAGAGATTCCAGGCGGCGACTTGTCCGGCACAAGCAGTTCTTGGCGGTGCGCAGCAATAGCATTTTTTGGTTCAATCAGCTTAGTTTTTCATTAATCTTTTCAATTTGCTTAGTAAATTGCACTGTCGATTTTGATGATTGCTAGTAGAGCTTTTTGGTTTGGCAACAAAGACTCTGAATTTGTTTAGATAATTGTTTGGCAGTAACAATTGCACACGCCATTTCCTCATCCAACAAAGACTCTGAATTTGTTTAGATAATTGTTTGGCAGTAACAATTGCACACGCCATTTCCTCATCCATTCATTCCTTTTATTTACTCTATCAAGATTAAATGTTCTGATTTTTTAGCTCTATTACATTGTAGTATCTGTTCATATACTTTCTCAACCTACTGAAACACAAAGAGCTAATAACGCCTCAACTGAGGCTCGAACTCACAACCTTCCAAATGGAAGTCTAACCCGGGTACCATTAGACCACATAGTCCTGGTAAATGTTCTGATTTAATTGCTGTTAATTTCATGTTTTTAGACCTTTTTAATTTGATTTTTTAGTTAATATTCTGGTTCATGGTAATTTACTTGTTCACCTTCTTAAGTTTTGATTCGATTATTCATTCGTTTAGCTTTCAGAATTTTAATTATTTGATTCCTAATTAATTAGCATTGAACCTTTAAATTGTGTAATTAATTATTTTAATTTCAAGTTATTAAATTGCCGATCTGGTTAATGTTTCTCGAATTTATTCGATGTCTTGCTATTTCATTATGAGGTTATAAAAATATTTTTTCCATTCGTTATTTTCTTCTTGGTAATTTAATTAATCCATTCTGATTATCAATTATGTTTCCTTGACTTCAGATTAATATTAAGTGTTCTCATTCAATTTAATTTCACTGCAATTCAAACTTTATTTTCTCTTTCCACTCTCTTAAGTAATTAAATTGCATTGTAACAATTCTTTGTGGGATCGACCCTTGCTATTTGCACATTATCACTACACCTGATTCGTGCACTTGCGAGGACTATATTAAAATTGTCCATTCGCAACGATGACAGGATCCGGGTCGAACACCCACAACTCGCAGGGTTCACGCAACACACGCGACCTCTCCCTTGCCAACTACCCCAACGGGACCGTGGCAAGTCGGCAGATTATGCCCGTGGTGGCGGGAGGGGACCTCAGAGATCAGATCAACGGGAGTCGGCGGGGGACAGTGGAGGACCTCCGGGGGTTGCTCACCAACAATCGCCCGCTCAATGGGACGGCGCCACCCGTACCATCACCGATCCTGACTCCCCAAGAGGAGGCCGCCGCACTCGAGCAGGCGGCGGGCGTGCTCAACCGTGTTGCGGCAGGGCTGCGACAGGGTGCCCCGACACCTCCACCTCTGACCCCCCAGGGGGGCATGGTGGTCCCAGCACTCATGCGCCCCGAGCACCCGGGACGCTGGCAGAGGGAGAAGTTAACTCGCCACAACCATCTGAGAGGCGAGGCGAAGCGGAGGCCAGCAGGGGCCGGCACGAGCAACGGGAAGAGAGGAGGACTCGGTCAACCCGGGCCACATCTACGCTCGGGCAGTTGGGTCCTCGAGTGCCGGCACGAGACCGCCTAGGGCTGAGGCCGGCCGTGAACGCTAGACAAGCGGAGTTGTCGTGATCGCGGAGGTCCCGGAGCCGTGAACCTCGTGTTCCCCACCAGTGGAGCGCTCGGGGGAGACCAGAGGCCAGCCTCCAAGCTCCTAGCGCGACGAGATGGATCAACTGCGCAGGCAGATGCACGAGTTGCAGCGCAAGATCGAGGCGCGCGACGAGTCACCGGAGCCTCGGGACGCCTTGGTCACACCTTTCGCGCCGAGCCCCTGCCTCGGGACTTCTGATTCCCGGCCATCAAACCCTACACGGGGGCGACGGACCCACGGGATCATCTCAACAGGTACATGGCGGTCATGATGATGATAGCTGTCAATGACGCCATCATGTGTCGCGGCTTCTGCACAACTCTGGATGGCCAGGCCCAAGACTGGTTCGGGTCCTTGCCGGGGGAGTCCATCCCCACTTTCGCCGTCCTAGCTAAGAAGTTTATGTCACACTTCGCTGGCAGCATATAACGAAGGAAGCAGTTCGCCGACCTGTGCTACCTGAAGTAACACAAGTCGGAGACCTTGACGGAGTATCTGAGTAAGTGGAAGAAGGAGGCCATGGGGGTGACCAATTTCGACTAGACCTGGAAATTTGTGTATACGGGTTCGTTAACGGGTCGACACGAGAGGCGGGTCGACATCTGAGAGGCGAGGCGAAGCGGAGGCCAGCAGGGGCCGGCACGAGCAACGGGAAGAGAGGAGGACTCGGTCGACCCGGGCCACATCCGCACTCGGGCGGTTGGGCCCTCGAGTGCCGGCACGAGACCGCCTAGGGCTGAGGCCGGCCGCGAACACTAGACAAGCGGAGTCGTCGTGATCACGGAGGTCCCGGAGCCATGAACCTCGTGTTCCTGGGCCCCAGGAGCTGACCCCACCAGTGGAGCACTCGGGGGAGACCAGAGGCCAGCCTCCAAGCTCCTAGCACGACGAGATGGATCAACTGCGTAGGCAGATGCACGAGTTGCAGCGCAAGATCGAGGCGCGCGACGAGTCACCGGAGCCTCGGGGCGCCTTGGTCACACCTTTCGCGCCGAGCCCCTGCGTTGGGACTTCCAATTCCTGGCCATCAAACCCTACACGGGGGCGACGGACCCACGGGATCATCTCAACAGGTACATGGCGGTCATGATGATGACAGGTGTCAATGACGCCATCATGTGTCGCAGCTTCTGCACAACTCTGGATGGCCAGGCTCAAGATTGGTTCGGGTCCTTACCGGGGGAGTCCATCCCCACTTTCGCCGTCCTAGCTAAGAAGTTTATGTCACACTTCGCTGGCAGCATACAACGAAGGAAGCAGTTCGCCGACCAGTGCTACCTGAAGCAACACAAGTCGGAGACCTTGACGGAGTATCTGAGTAAGTTGAAGAAGGAGGCCATGGGGGTGACCAATTTCGACTAGACCTGGCAATTCGTGTACACGGGTTTATTAACGGGTCGACACGATAATGACACGAACACGATAATGACACAAACACGACACGATAAGGTTAACGGGTTCAAATTTGTAACACGTACACGAACACGATTTGTTAACGGGTTAAACGGGTTGACACGATAGATACATTTTGTTTATAGGTTTCGGGTCGTATCGACACGGTATAACACGAAACACGTTTAAACCCACTAAACCTATTAATATATTAAAAAAACTAAAATTTAAAGTTAAGTTATATATAAAAGAAATAAAACCTACAATTCAATCCATCAAACAAACTTCAAAAATATTCAATTTATAACATTCATAAATTAATAAAAATCCAAAAATCATTATTAAGGAAGTCCATGCTAGTTTTAGAATAAAATTGAACACAATAAAAATTCAAACTTCATATTGTTGAACATCAATAATTGGTGTAGGATTTTAACCTAATATAGTAAATTCATCCTTAGTCATGTACTCATGTTCATGATATCTTTTGTAATCTCATTCATGACAATGGTTCTTAGCGGGTTCTAAACAGGTTTGTGTAAACGGGTTCGTGTAAACGGGTTAACACGATAATATTAACGGGTTAAATGGGTTCTTAATAGGTTTAACAGGTTGACCCGTTAAGATACGAAACATAACGGGTCCTTAATAGATCAACCCGTTAACGACCCGGGACATGTTAAGGCTAAACACTAACCCGTTATTTTCGTGTCCGGTTTCATGTCGTGTTAACGGGTCGTGTCCATAATTGCCAGGTCTAATTTCGACGAAAGGTCCGCCATCCTGTTCTTCACCAACAACCTCAGGTCCGGTCTTTTCCACAGCGACCTCGTCTGGAACGAGCCCAAGACGTACACGGAGCTAATGGACCGCGCCGCGCGGTATGTCAATGCCAAGGCGGCAGAGAAGAGGAAGAAAGAGGAGGAGGAGGGCCGGGGCCGGAGCGACAAGGCGCCTCAACCTCAAGAGGACCGTCGCCCATCACGGTCACGCCGTGATCGGGGTCCCCGTCTAGCCCCACTACGACACCTGACCCCATTGACACAGCCCGTGACCGTTATTCTGGACCATGTGGAGGACATGGGCATCGTGTCGTTCCCCGAGGAATGCTTAAAGATCTCCCCCAAGGACGACCCGAAGAAATACTGTCGTTTCCATCGGCAGCGCGGGAACGACACGGACGAGTGTATGGTCCTCAAGAGACAGATCGAGGAGCTCATCTAGCGGGGGTACCTAGGCCAATACGTGAAGAGGATATGGCAGGACCCCGCCAAAGGCCCTGAAAACACCCGGAAGAAGAAGGGCGGTGTCGGACCATCCGCCTCTGCCCCGCGCAAGAGGGAACTCGGCCAACTCACGGAGGACGAGGAGACCGAGCCAGACAACCCGCCAAAGAAGAAAGTCATCCACGCCATCTTCGGCGGCCCGGAAGGTGGAGACATGCCCACCGAGAGGAAGAGGTGGGCACAAAGCCTATACGTGGGGGAGGTCATCCGGGTACCCCATGAGCCGAACCCGCGGTGGAGACGGAAGAGGTCATTCTGGACCTCAGCCGACCCGACAGGATGGTGAAGGTGGGTACAGGCCTCCGGTCGACCTCCGGGGTCAGATCATGGAGGTCATCCGCAGCTACAAGGATGTGTTCGCCTGGGGTCCCGAGGACATGCCGGGCCTCAGTCTGGAGGTCATCACGCACAAGCTGGCGGTGGACGCCAAAGCCAAGCCGGTCCAGCAGCGGAAGCGCTACCTCGCCGCGGACAGACGAGAATTTGTGAAGAAGGAGGTCGACACCCTCCTCGAGATAGGGCACATAAGGGAGGTCCTATACCCGGCATGGCTCGCGAATGTAGTCCTCGCACTTAAACCACCTACGTGGAGGATGTGTGTGGACTACACGGACCTCAACAAGGCATGCCCCATGGACCCCTTCCCGCTACCCAACATAGACCAGCTGGTGGACCATACGGCGGGATGCGCGCTCATGAGCTTCCTAGACGCCTTCCGAGGGTACCACCAAATCTTCATGCACGAGGACGACGAAGAGAAGACGGCGTTCACTACCCCCGAAGGGGTCTTTTGCTACCGGGTCATGGCCTTCGGGCTCAAGAACTCGAGAGCCACGTACACAAGAATGTTGGCCAAGGTGTTCAAGAACGTCCTCGGCCGGAACCTCCAAGCTTACGTCGACGACATGATTGTTAAGAGCTCCAAGGCCGACCTCCACATAGCCGACCAGAACCGAGGTACCCCGAAGTCAAAATGGGGATGCGGACTTGCTCTCCAAGCTCGACCTCGGCACCCCAGAGCTTGTCTCTAAGATAACACAGATTGAGGACCTCCAGAGGTCCAGCCTAGAGGCCTACCCAGTCCTCCCCATACAAACTCAGCCCCCATGCTGGTTAGACCACCTGGTGAAGTACAAGAGAACCGGCACCCTGCCAGCAGACGAGGCGGCGGCCAAGGCAGTCAAGAGGAGGTCACCAACATACATACTCCTTGGCGACACCCTTTACAAAAGGTCCTACAACGGCGCCCTCCTCCGGTGTTTATACCCAGACGAAGCTAAGTCCGTCAAGGAAGAGATACATGAGGGCACTTGCGCGGCATACCAAGGAGCCTTCGCCATGGCGAGGAGGGCCCTATTGCAAGGGTACTTTTGGCCGAATATGGCCAAGGAGTGCGCAGAGTACGCCCGGGGGTGCCCGACTTGCCATCACTTTCACGCAAAGCCGGTTCGCCCAGCAACCAGCTATATGCCTATCAGCACGGTGATCCCATTCTCAAGGTGGGGAATCGACATAGTCGGGGCCCTACCCATGGGGCCGCGAAGATGAAGTACATAATAGTCTCCATAGACTAATTTACAAAGTGGGTCGAAGCCGAGCCCCTCGCCACCATCACGAGCACCCGGTGCACGGAGTTCGTACGGAGGAACATTTTGTACCGCTTTGAGGTCTCCATGCAAATCATCTCCGACAACGGGCGTCAATTTGAGAGCAAAGAATTTAAGGCGTTCTGCAACCAATGGTACATAAAACACACCCGCGTGGCGCTGGCATACCCACAGGCAAACGGACAGGTGGAAAACGCCAACAGAACTATAGTGGACGGCATAAAAAAGAACCTGGACGCAGCCAGAGGAACATGGGTGGAGGAGCTGGACACCGTCCTATGGGCATACCGCACCACCCCAAGAAGGGCCACCGAGGAGACACCGTTTGCGCTAGCATACAGGTTCGAAGCACGGGCCCCACCGAAGCCGCGATACCATCCTATCGGGTCACGGTGTACGACCCCGACCTCAATGAGAAACACCACGACGCCGACCTCCACCTCATCGACGACAAAAGGGAGGACGCCATAGTTCGTGCGGAGAATTACCAGCGTCAAACAAAGGCATACCACGACAACAGAGTCCGACGCCGCTACTTCCAGGTCGGCGATTACGTCCTCCGAAGGAGGGTGGCAAGACGATCCCAGGACGGAGGCAAATTTGCCAAGAAGTGGGAAGGACCATATGTGGTCGAAGCCATAATACGCCCGGACAGCTACAAGTTGAGGACCCCGTCGGGCAAGACGGTGGACAGGGTGTGGAACTCGGAGCACTTGTTAAAAGTTTACCAGTAGAAGCACAATTGTACGGCCTGCACCCCCCCAATAACGGCCCGGCTCCCCATAATAATGTCTTGTTTTCGTTCGTAATGGAATAATGAATTTCGTTGAGAAATTATCCTACCCCGAGTTGTGGAAGAACACAGGCACACGTGAGGTCGGGCACCGCGGGGTCGGCCGACAGACCTGAGGACGGCCATCTCAGGGTCAGCCCCCGGGAAGGCGGCTATATGCGCGGCGACCGCGACGGCCAGCTTAGACGTAGCACACACCCTAGGGGCGGTACGAGGTCCGGCCTCGCTTACCGCCAAACGGAAGGGTTTGGGGCACGAGTCGAAGGACTCCAACCCCAGAATCGCTAAAACGTCCTAGGGGCGGTACGAGGTTTGGTCTCGCCTACCGCCAAACGGGCGTAACGCAATATTAACACCCTAGGGGCAGTACGAGGTCCGACCTTGCCTACCGCCGAACGGAAGGGTTCGGGGCACGAGTCGAAGGACTCCAACCCCAGAATCGCTAAAACGTCCTAGGGGCGGTACGAGGTCCGGCCTCGCCTACCGCCGAACGGGCGTTACGCAATCTTAACACCCTAGGGGCGGTACGAGGTCCGACCTCGCCTATCGCCGAACGGAAGGATTCGGGACGCGAGTCAAAGGACTCCAACCCTAGAATCGCTAAGACGTTCTACGGGCGGTACGAGGTCCGACCTCGCCTATCGCAGAACGAGCGTAACGCAATCTAAATACCCTAGGGGTGGTACGGGGTCCGGCCTCGCCTATCACCGAACGGAAGGATTCGGGATGCGAGTCAAAAGGCTCCAACCCGATAATAGCTAAGACGTTCTAGGGGCGGTACGAGGTCCGACCTCGCCTATCGCCGAACGGGCATAACGCAATCTAGATACCCTAGCGACGGTACGAGGTCCGACATCGTGTACCAACCACGACGGAAGAGCTTAACGACCCAAGTATGGTGGCTTGGGGTCGAAGGGCTACCCTAAGGTGAGCCTGAGGTCCGACCTCATTTGCCGCTCGGCAGGGTCTCGGCCGACTTCCCAAGGAGGTCTTGGCGGACTTTTTCGATGAGGTCTTGGTCGACCTCTTGAGGAGGTCTCGACCGACCTCTCAGGGAGGTCGCGACAAACCTCTCGAGGAGGTCTCCGCCGACCTCTCGGGGAGGTCTCGATCGACCTCTCGCGGAGGTCTCGACCGACCTCTCGGGGAGGTCTCTGCCGACCTCTCGAGGAGGTCTCCGCCGACCTCTCGAGGAGGTCTCCGCTGACCTCTCGAGGAGGTCTCCGTCGACCTCTCGAGGAGGTCTCCGCCGACCTCTCGACCGACCTCTCGAGTGGGTCACAGCCGACCTCTTGAAGAGTTCTCGGCCGACCTCGCCTATCGCCATACGGATGAGCCACGTCTCCCCAACGTCCGGCTGAAGGAAAGCCTCAACGCCAACGGGGTCAATGTGAATCCGCTCCAAAGGGACATCATCACAAGCACCGTGTGGAAGGTCTGAAATCAAGTCCGGATTGGATGGAATGTCCGTGGCCGAGCCCCGAGGGGAAGTCAGATGAACATCTCCATTGGCCACCTCCATCGGGTTGGCTGGTGACTTCGGGTTTTCGAGTTCAGCCGGGAGACCCCACGCCACGTGGTCGAGGGTCTCGTCTCTCTTGCAAAGAACGAACTAAACCCTACGCTGCATCACATACTCTCCCACATTGTACATCTGCAGCCCCTGCACAGCCACGAGCCCTTTCCCAATGAGGTCGAGTAGAAGGTCCCCAAAGGTCTCCAACGCATGCTCGGCGAGGTGGGCCTTCACATCCTTGATGAACACCTCGGAGCCCTTGTAGCTTGACAGGGCTGCCTTTAAAGCCCACCTCAGAGTCCCTGTAACTCGACACGGCTGCCTTCAAAGTCTCCTCATGCACCGGGCGCTCCCGCGCATGGCTGGCAAGCAACTCGGCATACTTGCCCTCCAACGCCGCAGGCCTGCTCCCAATGGCCTTGTGCGCCGCCTCCAACTCTTTGCGACCCCTCATCCCGGCCCCCAGCTGCGCCTGAAGGGTCCTCAACACGCTCTCCATGGACGCCGCTCGGGCAACTGCTTGCACAACAGCAAGCATAGACGAAGGATAAAGCGTTAAAACACGAGGGGGTCCGTAATTATCAACCGGCTTTGGTACTCTCTTGGGCTGACGACTTCTCGCAGCCCCGAGAGTGGGGGACTGATGATGGAATAATTACGGAGCGAAGCAATATGGAGCGGACCACACCCGGCACCGAGTGGACTATGCACGCTGCCGGACAGACCATGGAGAGGTCTACCTATCACGGGGTCCCCGGCTACTATGCACATGGAGTGACGAACCACCCCGGGGTCGGCCAACATGGGCTCGGCATCTCGGGGTCAGCCAACATGGGCTCGGAACCCCAGGGTCGGCCTACGTAGGCTGACCACCACGGGGTCGGCCGGCGCGCCCGGGGTCGGCTGGCACACCCGGGGTCGGCCTACGCGGGGTCGGCCTGGCGTGAGGTCGGCTAGCCGTCGAGCCGACCTCCACTGGCTCGGCCGAGCCCATGGCTGGCACCTTGGCCGAGCACTGCGCTCGACCAAGGACCGGGTCCTCGCGTGGAGCGAGTCCCGCAGCTCCTCCCGCGTGACCCGGGCCCGGTCTGGCCGGGGGGTATAAAAATACCCCCCGGTGTCTTATTCAAGTATCTCTTACCTTCACACAATACTTGTAATGTTATCACACGTCCCGAACCTCTGTAATAGTACTATACGCTCAATTAATACAATATTTATCATTTTATTATTCGTTCGTCATATTCAATCTTATATAAGGGTTGTATAATCCGGACCCCCAGGTTCATATAATCCATCAGGATGATTGAAGCAATTCAACGGATTCAATGGGCTTTCTAATGTTTTCATCAAAGGTAAATTTATGTTTACTAATTTTATTCAACACTTCTTTTCGTTGTTCACCCAGTATGCCTTTTTTACTCCATCTATCCTCTGCTATTTAAAGACTCCATTGTACAACAGTGAAGGCACCACGGAACAATAGCTGCATTTTATTTTTTTTCTTTTCTAAAAATTTACTGTGTTTCTCCCAGCATAAGTTTCTTTAGAGGTTTGTTTTTCTCAACAACTTTAATTAATTATTTATGTTGTTAATTTGATTTTTTCCCTTGTGTATAACTATGTGATTCAGTAGAAAGACATATTGGTAAATACATATTGTTAGAAGTAGTAGGTCTCATTGTTAAATGTGGTTTCATTGATAAATGTCGTACTTTCCCTTGTGTATGACTTGTGTTTGCTTTCATGTCGTTCTTTCACTAGGATACCAGTTAAAATGCACATTGGATCATTAGTCTGTCAGTTAACATACCCCCCAAAAGTTCGAGTTGTCTTAAACATTTGGAATAGGCTTGTCTTCTTGTTGCTTATCCCTAAAAGGCCAGAGTGCATTTGCTCTATTATCTCCAAGTTCTGGACACTGATATCAAATAACAAGTACAACATTCATACGAGATATTTTCCCAACACATGCCACTAGGATCTATAATCTATTCCAATGATGTATATGATGTATAATAACTGAAAAGGCAGGCACAATGGTAGGAATTTGTAGATTAATAATCTAGAGTAATAAATAAACCAAATTGCTATTAACAAGGCTGCCTGGTAGAATCAATATTCATGTGGTCAAATAATCCGTTAAAGGTAACCTGGAAGAATAGCAGAGTAAATTGCTTAATTTCACCTTAACAGAAGCAGAAATTTTGGTTTCAGTTTGAAGTGTAGACTTAATTTGATGTTATATTCCATAATTATGCATACAAAACAAAAGCTTGATGTATTCCAATGGAATTTTTTATTATGGTATGTAGCTGTAAGAATTTTGCTTTCATTTCATTTGAACTGCAGACTTAATTTGGTTACTATTTTTATTTTTATTTTTTATTTTGCTTTATGTTTCTTTCTGATTTCTGAATTGTGAGGAATGAAATAAACCAACAGCTCTAGCCTAATGCCATTAATAATAGAAAGATTTCAACTTTGATTATGTACTGTTCTTGTATACCACAATCAGGCAACAATTATCATATTTTGATGACTATGGATTCATTCATATTGCTTGCAGACTACCTAGGATCAACATTTAGATCCTTTCATATTGTGAACAACAAAGTATAAAAGCCAATTAATCATTCAACTTGACATGCATGAAGGGATTGCCATTTTAGTTGTAGCTTAGTTACCCGTTGTCAATAATACAATGTAGAGTTTGTGACATTTTCCTTTCCCTATTTCATCTTGCAATTCAATTTTATAGTGGGTTACTATTTCTTGCTTTTTTAAGGATAAAACTTTTATGTTTCTTTTTGATTTCTGAATTACTAAGAATCTTGTATAGTTTTTATGCTTATGTAGTTATTATTATATCACTTCCTCTGGTATCTTGCTCCCTTATGATGCACATGCTTTCATGAATATCTTGTATTGCTAATATATATATATATATATATATATATATATATATATATATATATATATATTAACAGATATCCTCAAGGAATGATTGGGTTTATTATTATTATTATTTTTTTTTTCAGAAATGGAATCTCACATTTTAATCCCTCAAATCACAACTGAGATAAAACAATGGAGTTGTAAAGTTTGTGTTATTGAAAAGTTGAACACAAGATAGTCAAAGACCAAACCCAGAACCTTGTACAAACCTATAACATTTCAAGATGAAGCGGTTACTCCTTTTATCATTCATGAATTTTAAACATAATTCTATTGTGCATATTTTAAGCTTATGAATATTTGTTATATTTTGTGCTTAATTATTGACATCTTTTGAAAATATAATTATAGGGCAAAAAAGTTCAAGGAATGACTCATTAGAATGATATTGAACTGCTTGATGAAAGGCTCAAGTTATACTCCACATATATTATCTCTAATGCATTAGTCTCTCGTGCTAATGAATTTTTCAATGTCCCAGATGAGAAATATAGGTTTGTTTGGTCAATTAATAGAAAAAATCTTATACAAGATGTTAATGATGATCAACAATTGGATTTGCAACCTTCTTCTGACATAGATACAAAACCATTTGGACAATTGTATGCCTACAAATCTAAAAGACAAGCAATCAGTGAGTTTAGATTCTTCCATGTGTTTTTTATTTGTAATCAATTATTTATATTTAGAACATATTGTGTCAATCTAATTCTAATATTATTTGTAGATATCATTGGAGTTGTGATTTCTAAACTTCCAAGAGAATTTATTGTCACCAACTGGATAGGACAACAAAAAGCTAATGATTTTGTAATGGTTGATGAAGAGTATGTTTATTGAATTTATTTAAGTTTGAAAGTTTTGTCTATAATAGTTTGGAAGGAAGCATGATTAATTTACACCTTTATGTTTTGTTTTTAGATTATTTGCATGCATTGTGTATCAACAAATAAAATATTATTGTCAGCTAAGCTTGTCATGATCTATTTATAAATAACTTATTAATCTCTTTATAAATTCTTTAATAATCTCCCATGCTTAAACCTATAATTTTCACAATGTGGGGAAATTTTACGGTTTATCAAGGGATTGAAAGTGACAAAGAACTCTAATAAGGAGATTCTCCAGTTGTTCTTGGAAGAAGGATTACTGTCACCCCATATCAAGGTTTGAATGCGATCTTAATATTGTGGAGACTGCATTCTGGATGTTCCATTTTGTGTTATACAGAGTAAAAAAAAATCTGTAGTAGTCAAGCCTTTTATGCTCATTTCTTTAACTAAAAATAAATTGCCTTAATAAAACCATGCAAGCCATAAATTCAATCCTTCTAACTCAAATGTTGTCGGTAGGATGAAAGGAGGAACTTGTCATTTTCCTTATCAAGTGTGTTTAACATGTTAAATAGGAATTTCCTTACCTACAAGATCTGATTCTGGTGTAGAAGTGAATCCGTTTGGTAAACGTGCTGAGGCTCTTAAAGAATGGTAACCTAAATTCATCTTTTGTCTTTCAATTATATCCTATTTGTTGCACATACTAAATGGTTCTATGCTGTCGATAGGGCGACGGCTAATTCATTGGTTATTGAAAGATTGATTGTTGAAAAGGCACATAACAATGCTGTTAGTGAATTGGCAAGTCCTCTAGATCAACAAATATCACCAATTACAAATTTAAAAAAAGTCGTTTGAGCAGGTTTCTCACTAATGTTACACCCTTTTATTGTTTACATTTTCTTTTTAACTTCTTTTACTCATTTTTATTTTTATTTTGTTATTTTATGCATATGTTCAAAATTAAGCCAAAAGCAGTCTGGGTTAAATCAAAGATCACACTTATAGACAATGGAAATCCTACCTACTACATTGATTGTAACTATTGTGACAAGAAAATTAATTGTAATGAAGGTATTAAATTTTGATGCATGTTTTGTGGGCATGCCAATGCAATTTCTATCAAGAGGTAAATCTTAACTCTTCAACATACTTGTACACATACTTACAGCACGTTTGGTTCACAGAATGAGTTTTAAGGTAATAGGAATGCTATTCCATAAGGAATGGAATAGGCAAGGAATAGAATATAAATTTTATTCTATTGTTTGGTTCGCGGAAGGAATAGACTTTAGGATTACATTACAATGTTTGTTTGATTTAAGGAATAGAAATGAAATATATTTTAAAAGACATAAATGCCCTTATAAAAATATGTAATGGTGGCGATGGTGGTGGTGGCAGTGGCGTTGGTGGCGGCGGCGGCGGCGATGGTGGTGGTGGTGGTGGTGGCGACGGTGGTGGTGGTGGTAGCAACGACGATGGTGGCGATGGTGGTGGTGGCGGTAGCGGTGGCGATGGTGGTGGCGGTGGCGGTGGCGGTGATGGTGGCGGCGGCGACGATGATTGTGGCGGTGGTGGGCGGTGGCAGTGGTGCTGCTGGGGTGGTGGCGGCGGCGGCAGCGACGACGATGGCGATGGTAGCGGTGGCGATGGTGGTGGCAACGATGGTGATGGTGGTGGCGGTGCTAGGGTGGTGGTGCTGGTGGTGGTAGCGGAGGTGGCGACGACGACACCGGTGGCGATGGTGGTGATGGTGGCGGTGGTGAAATAGGAAATAAATTTAATTTGGGGGTAAAATAGGAAATAGAAACTTTAGGTTATTCCCGAGAACTCAGGAATAGCCTAATACCAGGGGCCCCCCAGGAATCTCTATTCCCCTTGCAAGGGGAATAGGTCATTCCCGGGAACAATGTTCCTAGGAATACAAGGAGTTACCAAACAGAAGAATAGGCCTATTACTGGGAATGCTATGCCATTCTAGACCTATTCCGTGAACCAAACAGTCCATTATAGTATTATTATTTCATAGTAATCACGAGGCATTTTTTTACAGATATAGATTAATTGTTGAGCTATTTGATGGGACAGATAGAATTGAAGCAACAATGTTTAATCGTCATGTGGATAAGTTATTTTCTTTAACCGAAACAGAGAATGGCAATGATGGCTTTGATTTTCGAAAGCTCCAAAAAAAACTTGATACACCCACTTTTGCCGTTGAGCTTAGATGTCAACCCCAATACCGGGGAGGAATGACAACAACTTACACAGTTGCATCTATTTGTGAAGATATATCAACTTCATCAATTACCGGTACTAAAATGAAACTTGCCTTTGGAGAATCTAGCTATCTAGTTGAAGACTCAACAAATTTACTGTCCTCAAATGTTGACAATCACTGTGTGAGAGAAAAACGTCCTAGACTTGAGTTATATTGTGATTTTCACTTATATGAAGTCTTTATGTTACTTTTGTGCTATTTCAATAATTCATGACTCAAGTGTCTATATAGACACAAATAAAAGTTATTGATTTTGAATTTTATGTTATATCAAGTAATAACAATAATTTTTATAATTGTTAGTTATGTTGTTGCTTGTAATCAATAATAATTTCATTACTTTAAATACATTATAAGGTGTAGGAATAACCCTAAATTCTCATTTTCATAAACATGAGAATTTATAATAAAAAAGTGATATCAATTAAATTAAAAAAGTTCAAAGTTAATAAACTTTCATAATAAAAGTAAAATATTAAAAATAAGTTAATAAACTTTCATAGTAAAAGTAAAAATATTTTTAATAATTTAAAGTCCCATAGTATATATTTCCGTTTTTTGAAATGAAGTCCTATAGTATATAACTTCACATTCATTAAAGGAAAAATATAAGGCAAAAATAATTGGACAGTAGAAAAATATTCCATCATTATTTTAGTTGTGACAACTAAAGTTAATGATGGTATTGATATTATTTTCTTTTCAACAAAAATAATGATTTTAAATATGTTTGATAGGGTGAAAACACAATAAACCAATTCTATAAATAAAATGATATTTTTATTTTATAAAATATGCTAAGTTAATTTGATAAATTAGACTGTGAACTTGTTATTCTATATATATATATATATATATATATATATATATATATATATATATATATATATATATATAGAGAGAGAGAGAGAGAGAGAGAGAGAGAGATTCATATGTGAAGCTTAATTAAAATGTTAATTTCAGGATTGATGAGCCGTGTATTTTAATTTAATTAATAGTATTACCATTCATTTCCATTTCTGTTTTGCATTGTTTTGTATAATTATTTTTATAAATGGCAATTTATTTATGAAAAAATGAAATAATCCATTAAAGATGGAAGAAATTTTGTTTAAAATAGGAAATAAAATTCATTGAAAAGGTGAGAATAACAGATAGAGTGAGAGGGAGAGACAGTGAAGAACAAGGTGAGAATGGTCTATTGTGTAGAACAACAGCCACCAACAAGGTGAGAAAAAAGAGAAAATGACACTCGCGAACAGGAAAATACACGTAGACAAGTATCGAACGCGGAACGGTCGAGAAAAGCAGAGAGTGTGAGAAAGAGATTGAGAACGAGCGAGGACACCTACGTAGATCATAGTTAGTATGTGTACAATCTTATATTTGCCCCATTTAACACAATTTTTCTACATGAATCGTGTGGATGAAGTTGCAAAAAACTCAACTTGCTTTATATTCAATTCCCTAAATATTTTGTGTGGAACAATGAAAGAAAAATGTGGACACAGAGAAAGAAGAAAGAAGTCATAGGCAGACTTGTGACAGTCAATCCAACTGAAGGAGAGCGTTACTATTTACGGCTATTATTGATGAATGTTAGGACACCCAAATCATTTGAGCACTTAAAAAATGTCAATGGCTATCAGGCAGTTACATTTCGTGAGGCAGCTAAAAAATTGGGTCTGTTATCTGGGGATCATATTGTCGAAAAGTGTCTAGATGAAGCAGTATTATACCAGATGTCATCAAGTTTTAGGAGACTATTTGCAACCCTTCTAATTTTTTGTGATATCACGAATCCTTGCAACTTGTGGAAAAAATTTAAGTCATACATGTGTGAAGATCTACTCCAGACAAAACTACATACTGATGATGAAGTCCAACTGATGGTGCTTCAATTAATCGCAAATACAATAGAAGAAATGGGGAAGAAGATTGATGACAAAAACTTGGTCGATAACAAGTTATCTCTATCAACCCAAGAAAAGGAGGATAGAGAAATTGCAGCTGAATATGACATACAAGTAAGTGAATATGACTTGCTTTGTGTGGAAAATTGAATGTTGAGCAACGCAAAGCATTTGATACTATTATGACAAGTATCATTTCGAACTCGAGTGGAGTTTATTTTATAGATGGCCCTTGTGGTACGGGTAAAACATTTCTATATAAATGCTTATTAGGTACTATCAGGTCTAAAAAATGGATAGCACTTGCAACTGCAAGTTCAGGAATTGCAGCATCTATTTTGCCTGGTGGTCGTACTGCTCATTCGACATTCAAAATACCAATTGATGGAGATGATAAGTATGTCTGCAATATTGGAAAACGAACTGCAGAAGTTATTTTATTAAAAAAATGTAGATTGATTCTTTGGGATGAAGCCTGTAACACCCTGAAATTTTAAACTTTTTAAAAATTATATAATAAAGGTGAATTCTCATTAAATCCCAAAATCAAACATAAGAGTGCGGGGTGCTATGCCACATCTGAGCTGGAGAACTTAGATGCACAGGCTAACTAACTAAAATCCTCAATACAAATGTCAATACATAATCATGGCACGCAGGCCGAAGGGAAACTAACTAATCTATGCTTCGGATCTCTAGCGCGCTCCGGGTTTATTCATTGGTGCCTGAAAGCCAAATATATCTGTTCAGCGAATGATGCTGTTAACCCACTCCAACGCGTTGAAATACATTATAGATAGATATATATAGATATATGAAAACCATTTTGAAGCAAGAAGATATATACTTAAGAGACTCTAGCTTTAAAAACCAGGAGTAGACTCAGCAAATAGAGGCAAACACAATAATCAATGATACCAGTTAAGTAGAGACAACCATCATAAAGAATATGCATCTAAGGTCACGGATCACTTTCAAATGAATCATATCATCATCCAATCATCATTCGTGTCACACAAGCACACTTTGGTTGCGCCACGGGACCAATCACATGCCCCGAACATGAGGGTTAGTGCATATAGCACTAACACGACCCCGCAGTACCCTACCTCATACCACAGCATGAAGGGAGTTGATCGCAACCAACCCTATAGACCACTGACGAACTCAGCGGCGGATCACAGTCCTACACACCGCTGACGCGCTCAGTCGGTGGATTGTGATCCACTTTACAAGGGGGGACTTACGATCCTACACACCGTTGACGGGCACAGTCAGTGGGTCGTAGCGAACCAAGCCCTACACACCGCTGGGAGACTCAGTCGGTGGGCGATGATCCTCGGAGACTACGACACTATACACCGCTGGCCCATTACTCGGTGGATCGCAGCCAGCCGTAGCCCTACACACCGCCTAATTACTCAGGTCGGTGGACTACAGCCTTCCTCGGGCTTATTGGCCTTACACACCGCCTGGCGCGTCCAGGTCGGTGGGTCATAGCACACGAGGCACATGTGGACCGCAGCCCAAGAAGTGAATCACTGACCGCAGCCAGGAGAATGAACCGCAGCTCATAAGTAACCAAACAGTGGACCGCAACCCTATATAATATTTATACACCTGACCGATCGCAACTGGCCTGGTTAACAGTTGGGATGGTTCTCAACCCATCCAACTGCCCGTATAGCCAATTTGATTGCAACCAAATTGGGAAATCATGCATCACATAACACATAATAGCACATTGGGAAGGGGGAGACACATAATTAAGCTTACGTGTGATCATTCACATACTAAGAATAATCCTAAGGGGTTCATACGGCTTCCACCTAGGCCAACGGGTTACCGATTCAACTAGCATGCAATTCCTAGACTCTTTTATCCTACGAACGGTACCCGAAACATCAAACTCGACTCAAGCACGACAAACGGGGTCCGTTGGGACACCACGGGGAATGGGGAACATCAAACGGGGAAGCCAAAGACCTGGGGTGGGTGACAAACCAGCGGGTAGCCGGTGGGTGGAGGGCCACCCGCCGGCGACAACTTCCGGGCAGCGGGTGCCCGGCGGGCAGATGACTGCCCGCCGGCTTGTAACACCCCGTGTTACGAATCCTAAAACCAATTGATTAATTAATTAATTAATAGCCCAGGAGAAAGAATAAATTATAATGATTAATTAGGGAAAAAGGCCACCGTAGCCCATGGGCCCAAATATATAAACCCAACCCCTAAACCCAATAGGATTAAACTCTAAATAAACCCTTGGATCTATAAATAGAGAAATTAGGGAGCACCTAGAACCCCCAGACGCCTAGACGCCCCACCACCCCAGGAGAGCTCCAAGAATTCCCTTAGAAGAAATCAAGAAAGCAAGAAAGCTTAAAGAAAGATCCTTCATAGCCAAGGAATTAATTAAGGCTAAGAGGTAACCCATGTCTCAACAAAACCTATTTTCATAGCTATGATTTCCCCCTTAGGGTTTCCCCATATTATTGTGTATTAATGACTTGTGATAATTATTGTTGATGATTGATGTGATGATCCCATGGGGGATCTTGATAATCTTGATATTGAGAGATTCTTGATAATTATGATATTCTTGATGATTATATGGAGTTCCTGATGATTATGTGTTGTTCTTGATAATTGGGTGATGATCTTGATGATTATGTGTTATTCTTACCGAATCTTGCAATTAGAAGACGAACCGTATTCTTGTTGATATAAAAGTGATTAGAACCCTAGGTTGTATCGTATGATCTTATTCTTGGATTATCGGGTGGGGAAATCGCATGTTTGGGTGTTGATTATACTTAGAAAAGCATGATAGGTTATGTGCCGTTCGTTCCTCGTATTTGATTCGTTAATTGTCTACGGGTTGTCGTTAATTGTGTTGTAAAGTGTCTAAGCATGGTTTCGGGTTCCATAACGGTTCCCGGGGCGTAAAGTGTGTGAAAAGA